TTTCTTAAGACTGTCTTACTTATGTAAAACGTTGAAGAAAACATTTTTAACTCCCCACCCTCAAGTGTATTTTGATCTGTATACCTTTTTTTTTTTTTTGGTCCCTAAAAAATTGTGGAGGAGAATGCTTCTACTGAGCCTGTACTGTCTCCATTGTTCTGTTTTACCCACAGCTCCCTCAGGGAAGCTTGAGATCAGCCTTAGAAATCTGGGTGGTGATACTTGGGCTCGTTCCCGTGTTATGGGACTGCTGCTCGGGTTCTTATTTAGCGGTGGGGTGCTTCTGGAAATTGGAGAGGTTTTGTGTGTATCAGACTTCTTTGGGTTTGGTTTTTTTTTTTTGTGAGTGAGTGTGGTCAGAGCCCAAGTTACTGAACTCTGTGAGACAAGGAGCAGCAGAGCGGGGCTTCCACGTCCTTGTAAATATTGCTTGGGACAGTTTCAGTGGCCGGGGACAGCTCGATATCCGGAGGCTGCCCCACGCGGGGCTGAGGGCACCTGTTGAGGGAAGGACGGGGAGATGCTTCCACATGAACGCGTGAAGACGTGTGGCGGGTTCTGGAGGAGTCGCCTGGTCTCGCTTCTTCGCAGTCGCTGCTTTTGATGTGAAAGTCTGTCCTGGGATAACTGAGTTGTCGGAGCGTGGGACCGCTGAGGCGGGACAGATGCTGCAGCCAGAGGAAGATGCTCTGAGAGAGGGGAACTAAGGGGGTGAAGTGTCCCAGGGTTTGAATTTCTCCTTAGAAGCAGCGTGGAGGGGTCCGGCACCCAGAGGGCCCGCGGTGCCCGGCTTTGCCTGGAGCAGCACAGCGGCGGGGAGGCTGGGCTGGGCTGGGACTCTCCAGCTCCGCGATTGAAATGGAGAAGGAAAAGCGTTTTGAAAAGGAAAGGAAGGAAAATACCCGTCTCCCTTCCACTGAGGAAATGAGGTTTGGGGCACACGCTATCGATCACCGTTTTTACCGAGGTTATTCCTGTCTCCATTTCTTTGAAACGCGGGCAGCATCTGGGTTTGTTCAGTTCGGTTTTTTGTGGTTTTTTGTCTTTTTGTCTTTTGTCCCTTGCTTTCGGAGTTGTGCAGATCCTGCCTAGGCTGAATGGGCAGAGTGGAGGGGAGGAGACTTGTGTAATGAGGGAGGAGGGGAGAGGGCCTGGGCTTCCAGTGCCTCTCTCCTGAAGAATCTAAGGCAGGAAACAAAGGGTGAGCGGCACATGGAGAGCAGCGGGCACCTGGCAGCGCCCGGCCCTTCAGCAAGCTGCCACGCATTCGGCTTAATCCGCGCCCCAAAAAAAGCCTGAATAACAAATAAGGGTGGCTCGGGTTTGGTCCTACCGCCCCTCGCTCCTCTCCGGGTTCGTTTTGTTGGCGCCCGGGCAGGCTGTGCGAGCGGATAAAGCGTCAGGAGCTTTTGACGGACGAGCGTGTCCAA